TACTGTGTACGTGTTTTCTGAAAATAGGATAGCCAGGAGCAGTGGCCCCCGCCTGTAATCCCAGCACTTCAGGAGGCCAAGGCAGGCAGATCACTTGAGGCCAGGAGCTCGAGACCAGCCTGGGCAACATGGCAAAACCCCGTCTCTACTAAAAATATAAAAATCAGCCAGGCATGGTGTAGTCCCAGTTACTTGGGAGGCTGAGGTGGGAGGACAGCTTGAGCCCAGGAGGCGGAGCTTGCAGTGAGCCAAGATCCTGCCATTGCACTCCAGCCTAGGCGATAGAGCCAGACCCCATCTCAAAAAAAAAAAAAAAGATAGCAGTTTGAATTATGTAATAAACCTTACCAGTGGACATTTATCACTGTAATTGCAGTTATGCTACTTAGCAAAAGGAGAGGACAGAAGTTGGGGGAAAATTTCAAGCTTACTCTATGATTCCTTCCTACATGTCTAAACCACACAGCATTTCCAGATTTATCTTGCCTTTCTCATTCTCTGTATTAGCAGTTTTCAGAATGTGCTTTTGAACAGATTTTGGACTTTGCTTTTTCTGCTTCCTTGGCCTGAAATGCCTTCCCTCCCTACCAGTTAGCTCTAGTAATTTAATTTCTACTGTTGGTCACTGGTCCTTGAGGACTGTTTAGACCTCCCTTCCTCCAGGCTGGATGGCCTTCTCATGCCCCTTCAGTGTCTCTCCTGTGGCTCACCAGTTGTAACTTACCGCATTCTGTCATTTGCTTGTGTTCCTTCCAGGCTGTGAGGTCCTGCAAGGAAGTATTTTGTTATCACTGTATCTTCAGAGAGTCAGAGTGCCAGTACACAGAAGAGCATCACTAAATGCTACATGGAGCTGATTACTTTTACATAGAGCAGACATTTAACCAAGAATATAGCACTTATTCCCTGTTAGATTCTCAGTATTTTAAAATATTAGCTCATTTAATCCTAACGACCTTTTAATCTCCATCTTATAAATGATAAAACTTAAAGATTAAGTAACTTGCCCAAGGTCACTGTTGGTAAGGGCTGAGCTAGTAGTATTCCAGTTCAGGCACAGATTATTCTTACTTATATTGACTGATTGCAAATTCCTGCTTTTCCTCCTTCCATGGTGTCTACGACACTCAATTCACCCTCACAGATGTGTTCTGCTGTCCTGGAAACTGGAGGTGGACCAAGCCAAGCTTAGAAGCAAAATACACAACAGGCTGGGCACGGTGGCTCACACCTGTCATTCCAGCACTTTGCGGGGCTAAGGAGGATCACTTGAGCCCAGGAGTTCAAGACCAGCCTGGGCGAAATGGCGTGTGTACACACACACACACAAGCCCCCAGAGGCATGTGGTTCATTGCTAACATTCCCCAAAAGGTATCTGGTACTGGTTCACACTACACCTCCATCCGATTCCTCAGTTGTGAGCTGTTTCTTTCTCCTAGCCTCAGCCACCAACCCCTTCAGAAGTGGCTCCTGAAAACTTTGAGGGGAGTTAGAAAATGACCTTGAAGCTCTGGTCAGTTCACTAAATCTTTCTATTCATTACTATGAAGGTAGTTGTAAATATTTAAAGAATCCATTCTAAATACATGCATTCATTTGTTTTTAAAAGTCAAGAAGAGCTTAAGAATGGGTTTTACATTGTTTATAATTTTATGTATTTTGGAATTTATGTATTACTTTTGTAATAAAAAAAAACTTAAGTTTTCGATTTTAAACAAATAGAGAAAAGCCTGAAATTTTGGCATGGCCAAAACTTCCAGTGTGGAATCAACGCAGGCATCTAATCTTAATTGTGATCTAAATGTGAATATCGTACTTTTCTCAGTGTTTGGAAAAGATGTTTTAAATAATTTATTTAGAGTAAGTATATGCTTGGAATTTTGTATCCAGAATTCCAAGCAAATGCGTCCAGTGGCATTTTTTTATTTTGGAACAGAGTCTTGCTCTGTTGCCTAGGCTGGAGTGCAGTGGCACAATCTCTGCTCACTACAACCCCTGCCTCCCAGGTTTAAGCAATTCTGCCTCAGCCTCCTGAGTAGCTGGGATTACAGGTGCATGCCATTTTTGTATTTGTTTGTTTGTTTGTTTTTAGAAGAAACGGGGTTTCACCATGTTGGCCAGGCTAGTCTCAAATTCCTGACCTCAAGTGATCCACCTTGAGTCTCGGTCTCCCAAAGTGCTGGGATTACAGGCATGAGCCACCGTGCCCCGCCTTGTTGACTGTTCTTTAAGGCTGTAATAAGGAATAGAACCGGGCTGAGGTTGTGGCTGCAGTGCTTTCCCTCTACCTTGTCCCCATAGAGGCTAGACATTTTAAGGTCAGTGGAGCACCATCAAATCAAAAGAACCTCTTAAATTATCTTCTACTAAAAAATTTTAATAGTAGCATGTTAATATTTTTAAATGTTTTAGTATCATCCCATTTCGAAAACTATATCTAATGTTCTTATATATAAGAAAAACAATGATTTTATTTTAAGTTGTTTATTGTAAGATAATTTACAAATATCTTGCTGTCTTCAGTAATTCAAATAATGGAGGAACAGTTTCTTCGGACAAAGACAGCAGTATGCTAAAAACAAAATCAACTGGCTGAATTTTCCTTCTTTACCTGAAAAACAAAATACAGAACAAGTAAAAAAATCAAAAACAATTTTTAAGAAAAAAAAGAAGGCAAAAAAAAAAAATAAAAACCAATTAAAGGGGGGAAAAAAAAACGAAATTAAAAAAAAAAAGAATAACCCAAAACAAGGAATCCCAAAATTTGGGCCGGGGAAACCTTTCATGGGGTTCATGAGGGCAAAACTATGTCTATAATAATGTTATTTTGCCTGTTTTATTCTCATTCTCGAGTATACAGTAGCGTTTCCCAGAGGCCACATGATCCATGACATCACAACAAAATGAATAGAGAGAGATGAAAATCTAGCTGGCTTCTGCGAAATCAATCAGACATTACGGGGTCCTGAGACCATAAAGTGTGACAACCACCACTCTTCACCACCTATATATAATGTCTCAAAATAATGTTAATTCTCTATCCTCAAAGTTTATTTCCTTATATCTACATTTTCTATGATCTACACACTCACTACAGAAAAAGTCCACTAGCGTTGCCCAGGTGCTCCCGTGAGTTGGCTGCTACTATAAAGTGGCCCATTCATCTAAATCTCTCAGAGGACACTTCTAGGATTACTAAATTAGCTTCACTCATATCTGGTTTCTTTTCTGAGCAGACATGGGAAGAATGTGTGAACTTTACCTCTTGTCTGAGGATGGAGCTTGATTTTCATTAATCCCTGGTTATTATATTAGAAGAAAAAGAAACACAAAACAAGCAGGTTAAGAAGCAATCCATGCTAGTTAATCACATATGCTTTCCCATGAAATAAAGTCAGTTTTTAAACTTGATGCCTTGAGTATATCATGCAAAAATACTTACCACAAGATTATTTTAAAACAGACTCAATGACTGTTATAAAAAGTCATAGATTTCAATCCAGGTTAGAAGCAATAAAAATATGCTCATGCAAGTAGGCAAGACTATGAACATACTAATTTAAATTACAATTTTTCTATAAATTAACACAATATATTTAGAGTTTTTTTTGGTGTTGTTGAGATGGAGTCTGGTTCTGTTGCCCAGGCTGGAGTGCAGTGGTGTGATCTCAGCTCAAGGCAACCTCCTCCAGGGTTCAAGTGATTCTCCCTAATAATTTCATCTATTTCCACACTACAGATACTTTTTTCTTATAACTCTTTAAAAATGTAGAAACCACTCTTGGCTCCAGGCCACAGTTTAGTAACCTCTGTTCTGCTGTGATTTCTTATTTAGTGTCTGTCTTTACTGTTAAAACAAATATTGTTACCACTATATTCTCAGTGTCTAGCACAGGGCCTGACACTTAAGGGGCACTCAAATAATTACCTTTTTGAACTCAGGAGAGAAATGACAAGGATCTGCATTAAATGCGCATAAAGAAGGGGAAAGATTCAAGAGATAGAAGGTGAAACTTAGCATGGTAACTGATTAGTAGGAGGTAAGAAGGAACGAGTCAAAAAGAACTTACCACCATTTTTATCTAATCACAATTACTTGTATGTTTCTTACCCTATTAGACTATAAGTGCCTTAAAAGAGAGAATCACATCCTTAACACTGTGTCTAGCACTGTACTGTGCACATAGTGGGTATTCAACTTAATAACTTTTTGAAATTCCCATTGTCTTAACCTTTTTTTCATAAACATTAAAGTTTTTCAACAACTAAGAAATTTTCTTGAGGAAAGCAGTATATAGTTGGCCCTCAGTATCCATGGATTCAACCAAAGCTGATGAAAATATTTGGAAAAAAGACAAAAATAACGATAAAATAATAAAAATAAAAACCAATACAACAACAATTTACATAGCATTATAACTAGAGATGATTAAAAGTATATGAGAGGATGTGCATTTGTTATATGCACTACTGTGCTATTTTATATCAGGGACTTGAGCATCTTCAGATTTTGGTATCCTGGGGGAGGTGAGAGGGAGTTCTGGAACCAATCACTTGCAGATACTGAGGGATGGCTATACTATCTTTTGGTACTGATATAGAAAACATAATGATTAAAAAATTCCTGGACCTTCCCAACATGCAATGGTTTATAGATTTATGTAAAACCAAATCTGAAACTAGCCCTGTAACTCAGAAAGCTTACAATTGTTTAAATTCCAAAAAAAGATTTCATAAATGATACTGAATTATCCACATCCCATTCCTAATGCTTTAGAAAAGTGAAAACTAAGCCCGAGTGTTTCCAGCTGAAACAATAAAAATAAACCAAAGAGATCCCATTTTTACCACATCTTCATAGTGTAAGAGTTAGGATGCAAGATTCAGCAATGAGTCATTTCAACTTCAAAAGACAAAAACAAAAACTTTTAAGCATCCAAACAAGCAGACACAGCAAGAGGGAAAAAAAAATTCTCTGAAGGCAACAATCTACAATTACTTACAGAGCCGCAGCACCAGAGATAATTTCAATCAATTCTTTTGTGATGACAGCTTGGCGGGTACGGTTGAATGTCAATGTCAATTTGTCAATCATCTCAGCTACAAACAAAACAAAAAGATTGCACAAAAAATCTGAAACTAGAGAAGAATAACTTGTTAACTAACTTTTGTTGCTTAATTTAAAAATAAGAGATTTTTGGATAACAAAATTGGCCTCTCAAAAACTGTTATGAAGATATTTTTACATCTTCCATAGGATACCTTTTCACAGTACTTGAAAATCAACTACCTATCAAGATATACTTTCCTACAGGTAGAGGAATATTAAGTTAATGTTGTTGATGCTACTCTCGGCAATGGACTCCTCTCAGCTGAGATTCACTGTGTGCTCACAAGCATTCCTGCTGGCACCATCCTTATTGTGTACTTACAAGCATTCTTGCTGGCATTGTCCATGGCTGTCATCCTGGCACTCTGCTCACTAGTGCTGGACTCCTTCAGAGAGTAGTAGATGATGTTGGCCAGATTGTATTCTTGGTAATTTTGTAGCACATCAGCATCAATATCATCGTAGATACTCATGCTCTCTGTTAAAACAAGTGATCAGTTTCTTTGAAGTTATACAGAATACTAACTCATCAAAAACAGCTTTTCAGTGTAAAACTCCTTTATAATTACAGAGCAGAAATTAATGTAAGATAAGGTAAATGAATCTGTTCTAATAATTTCATCTATTTCCACACTATAGATAGCATATTTTTTGCAAAATATAATGTATAAATGAAGCATTCGATATTCTACTCCATATAACTTTGGAAAAATTAAGTCAACATTTGAAATAACTGTACTACATCTCATGATTATGAGGCCCTCTGGACAGCATTAGCATGTGCCTGTTACAAAGCCAGCAAGCACTCAATGCTTTTTCCAATTAAAAAAAAAAAAGAATGAATTGAAACCAATATAGTGTAATACAGGTTGAGCATCCCAAATACCAAAGTCCAAAATCTGAAGTGCTCCAAAATCTGAAACATTTTGAGCACTGACATGATGCCACAAGTGGAAAATCCCACACCTGACCTTGTGTGATGGGGTGCATTCAAAACTTTGTTTCATGCAGAAAATTATTTAAAACATTGCATAAAACTGCCTTCAGGCTATGTGTATAAGGTGTACAGACTTGGGTCCCACCCCCAAGATACTGCATTATAAATATGAAAATATTCTGAAATACCAAACATTTCTGGTCCTAAGCATTTACACAAGGGATATTCAACCTGTGCAATAATTCCAACTTAGTCATTTGATTACTGAAGAAATCTGAATGTATCATTCTGGAAAATGAGAGAGGGAAAACCTTTCTAAGCACATGAAAGAGGGGGAGAACTAGAAACTGATATGAATTGTAGTTTTAATGTTGTAGCAATTTAGTAGTACATTTCAAAATTCATTCATTGGGGTTAAGTGGTGAAACAGTACTATATTTCATCAAACTGAAAATGGTACTGGTTGTAACACCTACTTTATTTCTCATTAAGAGAGAAAAAAATGTACTCTATTACAAATGATACTCCATTGGCTGGTAGAGCCATCTCAATTTCAGAAACATTAACATGTAAAGTACATACTTGCAAATAAATGAAGTATTAGAAAATAGATGAAAATAGATGGTATATACAAGGGGAAAAAGCCTTAGGAAACTAAAATCAGTTCTAGAATATTATTCTAGGATGCTTCAATGATCAATGACGACTTTCTTCCAGCAATAAAACAAGAGAATTGGGTCGGTCAGTGTAAATTAGTTGTGAACACTGTTCAACTCTGTATTCTAGAGCTTCTGTTGTATTGTAGTCAGAGGTCCCAAACATGAATTGCAAAGCCAGTTTCTAGCTACGCTCTTCAATCCTTAAGGACAAAAAATCTAATGATGAACCTCAATAGATACCAATTTGTTCAATTAATGACAGAATAGAGCAGGAATTATCGAACAATGACTGAATTAAGTATCATGGAAGTCAAGAGATGGCACTTCAACAGCCCCAGATTGGCAGGGCACAGTGGCTCACACCTGTCATCCCAGCATTTGGGGAGGCTAAGGCGGGTGGATCACTTGAGGGCAGGAGTTCAAGACCAGCCTGGCCAACATGGTGAAACCCCAACTCTACTAAAAATACAAAAATTAGCCAGGCGTGGTGGTGGCATGCACCTGTAATCCCAGCTACTTGGGAGGCTGAGGCAGGACAATTGCTTGAACCCGGGAGGCAGAGGTTGCAGTGAGCCAAGATCATGCCATTGCACTTCAGCCTGGGTGACACAGTGAGACTCCGTCAAAAAAAAAAAAAAAAAAAGCCCCAAATCATTTGCTATAGTGCTATTGCTACCACTACACATCTTGACACTGTCTGCCTTAGTGGACAAATCTCTTCATTCTACATGCCAAAAAATATATGTAGTAGAAAAACTACTCACCAGCACTTGCAATGGTATTAAGGGAAAAGATGGGCTTTTCTTCTGTCTTATAGGAGATGACAGACCTAGAATTGACAAAAGCAAATGTAAATCACAAAGTAATTTTTAAACTGTTATTTCAAAATATGAACAAAAACATGAACATAAAAAAAGCTTTGATTTCTAAATCTTTCTTGCCTGAATCGATTAAAGATGATGGAGCCTTAATTCAAGGGCAATGACTGACGCATCTCCAAAAGTGGGGGGCTTTCTTCCCACTTCTTTGAATGCCACCAGAAACTGGTCAGAATGAGTCCTATGAGAAAAGCAAGAGCTCACATAGCTAGTTTAACAACACTTCCAAAAGAGCACAGGGGACGGGCAGGAGAAAACATCGTCACCATGGATCAGGTCTTTTGGGGTGTGGGTGCTGGTGATTTCCTGAGTTGTTCCACACACTATCATAATTCCTTTCCCTCAGCACCTGCAGAGAACTAAGAACTAAAAATGAGGTCTGTCTTGTTTTATATTCGTTTTGCCTTTATTCCTCTTCTTCTAATCCTAATGAACTATTGCCAACATTTCCAGGCTGGAACAGCTCCTCAGATGCCTCATTTGGCTGAATGCTGATAGCTTTTGATATTCACATGGCACTCAACTTATGATCCAGATGAAGAAGCAAAGGTAGAAAACAGGGGAAGGAAAACAGAAATGTTCCAATATATCCTGGAAAAAAAAAAAAAAGGAAACGAACACCTCCCTGTGAGTATACCAAAAAAGGCCCTGAAGAATATACCTTGTTTAATTAAACTATCGACGAAGGATTTCAGAGTTTGTCAAAACTTCTGCGAGAAGATTTATTCATGCTTGCACCTTTATGAAAATAAACAATATATATTTAAATTACCTATAAAGTATGCCTCTGATTTTGTCACCAATTCCAACAAGCATAACTTCTTTCCCAGCTGCTGTTAGCGTAGCAACCTCACTTTTCATCTGTTGGTAAGGGAAGAGTAGTAATTCACAAATTAGGAAGAACTGTTGAACACAAAGGAAGACTACTGATGACTCTGGTATCTAGAGCGTTTTACAGTG